GCTGTTTTGGAGATTTCTGAAATTTTTTTATATATATAGTTTTGCTCTATAGCCCAGACTGGCTTCTAATTCACAATTCTTCCAGCTCAGCCTCTCAAATACCAAGATTGCAGGCATGTAGCACCATGCCCAGATGAGAAGCTACATTTAAGAAGACAATGTTAAAGAAGATTCTCTCTTTAACTAGGAGTCATTTTTACAATACCATTGCAATAATAGTGTTTTCCCAAAAATTTGAGCATTGGAAGGAAATCTCAGTGGATAGTGCACTTGCTGCTTTTGCAGAGGATTGGGGTTCGGTCTTTGGCACCCAAATGACAGGTCACAACCTTCTGTATCTCTAGTTTCAGAAGATCTTCCATCCTTTTCTGGCCTCAAGGGCATCATGCACACATATAGCGTACTTACATACAAGCAGGCAAGCATTCATACACATAAAATAATAAATATTTTAAAAATTCCAATGATGCTACTTTGGCAATGGTAAAATAGGGGCCCTAGAATAAATTCACTCTCAACTCAACAAAGATTTAACTTTTCATTTCAGCTTGGAAGGTTAAACTTTGCCTCTAAAGAACTGAAAGGACAACGAGACTGCCCCTACCAGACTGTCATGTAACAAACACACTCTCTCACAGCCCCACCCTGCTGCTTGTTCATTTGCTTCTCTAGTGATTCTGGGAACAACTGGAAATTTTATCACAAAATTGTCACATGCTATTTGCAGCTGAGTTTTTTAAAGTAGAAAAGAAAGACTTTTTTGCTTTGTTTTTTGTTCTGTCCTCTCTGGCTTTGAATTATCTGATAGCAAAGGGAGACTAGGTGATACATTTAAATACATAGTCTTTAGAGGTACATGTCATAGAGCATCCTTCTTTCTGGAAAACATAAATTTATGTGGGTACTGAACATTTATATGAAAATTTGCAAAATGTTTTCTTTTCCTTTGAGACAATGATGCATTTTTTTCTCATTTGGAAAATTAGCTACTTGTAACAGAGGAGTTTGTGCAATAAAGAGTTGTATATTTATTCAAAATAATTGTCAAGTTCATCTTAAAAATAAAAACACCCATAAGAGACAGTGACAACTGAGCTGCTCTTGAGAGAGTCACATCCACACAGGCTCGACAAGAAGTGCCTTAAATGATCTGATTTGTGTTCACCAGAATTAACAAAAATGTTTCAAAATTAGAGAATATCTTTAAATTATTTTTAATTAAGGAAATTTGAGCTGGTGAACACCTTTAATCCCAGCACTCAGAGGCAAAGGCAGGCAGATCTCTGAGTTGGAGGCCAGCCTGGTCTACGGAATGAATTCCAGGACAGTCAAGGCTACACAGAGAAACCCTGTCTCATAAGCAGACGATTGTAATAATAAAATATGAAAATAAAATTGAAGAAGTTGGAAAAACACTCATAATTGGTGATCATATATGAAAATGCCATCAACATAATGAGAATTTGTAATTCTAACTTAAACTAAACATTAAAAGGTAAGACAAATGTGGAGACTGGGATATGTCCTGCTCAAAGTTACCCTGTGTGGTATAGAACACTTGCTTCAAGCTAGGACTTGTCCTGAGCAATCCTATTTTAACAAAGAGCAGCTCCCTCAGTCTTCAGTGTAAACTCTGAGGTGGAATGACTCACATCTTGCCTGTGTAAGTGAACAACCGTAGCACAGACATGAGGCAGATACTGCTAAACAACCTCTTTATACAGTAAGAGTAAACACCTATGAACTTCAAATTAAATCAGGAACACCTGGACACATGGCGCTATCGAAACCACATCAGAAACCCAGACCCAGGAGCGAATTAAACACACCACACCAAAAAATGATGTAACCACCTCACTTGGTATTATAAAGGTCAATTTTCCCCCAATCCAGGAAAATGGCCACAGCAATGTACCTCTAACCTGGACTTCAGTTCAAGTGAAATTTCTCCTGCCTAGGACAAGCTGACACTAAAATTGCCCTCCCTCCCCACACCCCAGCAGCTTTTGACAACTCTGCACCTGCAATTTATAAAGCTTATCTGACCCCCACTCCTGCCCTTGTCCCTGCCCCTACCCCCATAGACATTTCCTGGAGTCTGAATCGGCTTTCCAGAAATCTTTGCCTTCACTATGGCCTCTTTGAACCCTGTGGACACTTTACCTTTTTGAAGCCATCCTGTAGCTCTCTCTCTCTACCCATTGTGAAGTACGTTATATTTTAATTCTCTTAAATACTACTACAGCCATTTAATTATTATTAGTAATAATAACTAAGACTGATGGAGTCTACCAAGTGAAAACAGTAGCACTTGGTGAGTTAAAGTCAAAGAAGCCGAAGCATCTTGTGAATTCATGAAATCACACATTGAATGCGGCAAGACAACAATGTGCCCAATGATGTAGCTTGCTCACACTAGAAAAGAAATGAATAGGTCACATAATAAAACGTTTTAACAATAAAGTATTTAACCTCTATTTTTAAAAATGTATTTTTTGGTGCATTGGTGTTTTCTTTGTATATGTCTGTATGAGGATGTTGGATACCCTAAAATTGGAATTACAGAAAGTTGTGAGCTGCCATGTGTGTGCTGGGTACTTTGGAAGGGCAGCCAGTGCTTTTAACTGCTGAGCAATCTCTCCAGGTCCTTAACCTCTATTAAAAAAAAGTGAGGAGCAGGGGACATATCTCAGAGGTCCAGTGATGTACAGGGCCCTCAGTGTAATCTCCAAGCACTGAAAGAAAAAGAAAAGCGAACTTCAGCTTTTTATTCTTAGTAATGCTTGTTGTAGGTGAGAATAAATACCTGGAGAGCTCTTGTACATTGCTGTTGGGAGAATAAATCAATGCGATCAACAGCACGATTGACAGTAGGGACCCAACGCCTTTTCAGCTTGTTCCTTCTTGACCTGGACATTTCCACTTCTGGGAGTCTATTCTGAAAAAATTACTGGAGTTCCCTACCATAACAATTAGACTAGACTAGGCATTTTTGAAAATTGAAATTATTTCCTCATACTTCTAGAGGCTGGACTGTTCAAATCAAAGGTTGAGAAGAGTCAGTGACTGATAAAGTCTCTTTCCTTGGGTTGCAGATGGCTGCCTTCTTGTTTGTTCTCACATGGGCTTTCCATGGTGTGCATGCTCATATCCACATGTATGCTCCCCCAACTCAGAGAGAGAGAGAGAGAGAGAGAGAGAGAGAGAGAGAGAGAGAGAGAGAGAGAGGAAGAAAAAGAAAGAGCTTTTTATAAAGTCACTAGCCCTATTCCACTTCTAGTTCACGATTTTAAACGGCAAAGATTTACACACAAATACTGATCTTATTTTTATTAGGAATATGAGAAAGTAACTGTCCAACAATAAAGATATGATTAAGCAATGATAAGACATATAGCAAAACATTACGATGACATTAAAATGATTTAGGAACCAAGTTGGAGAAGTGCTTTCCCCTATTTCTCTAATGTAAATATAGCTAAAACCCTAGACATAAGACTTAAAACAAGAAAACAAGCTTAATATCTATGAGAGCAAAGAAGGAGGTAGCAGTCTGTCCAGGGACCTGTACAGTGGTGAGGGCTTTGGGATTTTGGCTTCATAGATGCCATTCAGAAATGCCAATAAGACTAGATGAAAGCAACAATAAAACCAAGAAAAGTTTGCTTTAGCCAAAGGAGTAAAAGTGTGAGTCACTATGATCTGAGGGAAAAAAAAATCATAATTCTAACAGTGGATATAAGTTGGTAAAAGAATTACAGGCTTAACATTTTTCTTCTTTAAACTTTTTTGTTGATAATTTTCTATAGTAAGTCCATATTACTTTCTTATTGATATATAATTCACATATGATTAAAATTCATATTACTTTTTTGTTTGTTTGTTTGTTTTTTCGAGACAGGGTTTCTCTGTACTGTTTTGGAGCCTGTCCTGGAACTCGCTCGGTAGACCAGGCTTGGTCTCGAACTCAGAGATCCACTTGCCTCTGCCTCCTGAGTGCTGGGATTAAAGGCCTGCGCCACCAAGCCCATCTCAAGAACATTTTCTAGATTGCTTATTTGTAGAGAAACTACTAAGACAACTAGGTCAGTAGCATTGAGAATCAATTTTTGCAAAGAAATACAAGTTATGCCTACAGTTACATTAAAGAGAGAAAGCCTTGCCTTTCCTGAATTTACTTTTCCCCTTCCTGCAGGCAAGCATGTGGAGGGTGGAGAATCATTCTCAGAAGTAGCTTCTCTCCTGCTGCCTTTTGTGCTCCTGGGTTCAACCTCAGGTCATCAGGCTTGCCTCTACCTGACTTGCTGAGTCATCTCACTTGGCTACTCTAAACTATGATAACTCTGCCATTTATTCTGTGTGTTTTCGAGTAGTGTATCTCATTTGTGTGGGATCGAGACAAGAACCATTCAGAAATGTTTAAGAAATCCTTCACACAGAAACTCTATCTCCCACATGGTTGTCACCTTTAGTGGTGTAAGAACGTGTGAGAAGAAATCGTGAAAGCTGAATTAGCTCTTGAATTCATTACAGAAAAACTGGAGGAAGAGAGGACACAAAAGACTTGAAAGCAGGCTGTGGCAGACAGAATTCTGGTCTAACAAAATGGCTTCTTTCACTTACTCCATTACAGCAGAATCATACTTTCTCAGGTTTAAAAATGCCATGAAGACTTCCAGTCTTAGATCTCATTATAGTTGTACAATCAGATTTCACTGGATACAAAATCCTGGTTTTTCTTGATCTTATCAGAAGGTGTCAGTACAAGTTCTTCATATTTTTATATCATGAATGTCATGAATTGAAAGAAAATAAAGGAACTATTTGAAAGTTATAACCCAACTTCTGAGGGGTTAAATATTTTGAAGTACGTATCTTAGAAATGATAAGTTTTATTCTTCCATTTGATTGAATCCTCATATGATGTGCATTACATCTATCAAAAGATAATGAAACTGGCAGAATAATTTGATACAAATATAAACATCACATCTCCTTACTTGTATAAATTGCTGTTGGTTCAGGCCTGGGTCCACAGATTTGATCATAACCAGATCTTTGCAACGCGATTCTAATTTTAGAATAAAAGTTATTTGCTAATTAGTTTATATGTAATAAATTCATATTTTATATTTATAATATAGTACTAAAATTATTCTCAATTAGTGTCTATCCATAGTTTTGGTAAAAAATATATAGTTGGGTAACATACCAATTGCTACCAAGGGGTTTTTCCTTGGCTTTATTTAACCAAGAATGGATCATAATTTTTAATAACTAGGTTGGAATAAAGCAGAATCATATATGAATAATAACATAAAGGACTAAAAAACCCCTGTATGTTTATGAGAGCATTTATGCCAGCAGATCTAAACTGAAAGGTCTCTGTGAATATCCTCTTTAAAGCATTTCTTTTTTTTTAAGAGTTAGTCTACCATTTTATTTTATATTTTGAGACAGGATCTTTTTATATGTGTTTGGCTGTCCTAGAATTTGCTCTGTTGATCAGATTGCCGATTCCCCGCAGTGCTGAGATTAAATGCGTGTACCACCACACCCAGCTTAAAATTTCTTTGACTTTAATGTTTCTCAAATTAACAAACTCCATGTGAATGTGGTCTTTTGGTAAACGATGTAAATAATATAAAGGCTATTCACCATCTCAAAAATTAGTTATGGTAGGTAACCTTATAAATTGTATGTGAATTGCCTCAGCATCTTCAGTCTCCCTGGCCCCAGAGCAAGTCACCACTGCTGCTTGTCATCATTTTTTTTAGAAACCTTCCCATGGATTTCCAAATGTGTATGTACATGCAGACACATAGGTCATTTGTTTTTCTGTACTGTTTATCATCATTCTGATTGGAAACTTACCTTTCTCACCATTCATTGTAGATTCTTTCATGTATGATCAGAGCTCAAGGGGACAGTTTGGAATTCAGAGTCATCAGAGTCATTGGAGTTGTGGGTTAGAATAAGAAAATCCAGGGTGTGTGAACAATGAATGTATCAGGTGATGAGAAAGCCAAAAAAGTAAACTCTGGAAAACAACGCTTGTGCAGAAGAACAGAGAAATCAGAATGCCAAGAGAATCTTCTGAAAAAGGGTGACTAATATTAGGGATTGTTACACCTCCATGTTAGGTGCTAGGGACTTAGCTCGGTGGTAGAGAGCCTGTCTAGCAAGCACAAGACCCTGGGCTTGGGCCTTAGCTCCAGCAAAACAAAACAAGCTTCCATTTGATATGATAACTACAAAGTCCATATTGACCTCACCAAGCGACAGAGACAGTTTTATGATGGAAGGACTAATATATTGGCTCTCTCTCCTATTTCTAACTCTGCTTGTCATGAACTGGGACAAGGGCATAGGGAAGACTCTTCAGTCACTCTTGAGTTTTGTAACTGACAGTACAAGACATCGGTTATAGTAGTAAGAGAAGTAAGAGACCCTCCACCTCTAGAAAATTATGCAGACTAGATTGGTCTATGCCACCAATGGCTGGCACTCAATAACTTAAGGGGAAGAATCATGTCTTAATTTTCTTTGTTTTCTTTACCTCTCACAGTATGTGGAACCAAGTGAGGGCTCAACAAATGCTGACTGAACTAATGATACAGGAAATGAATACTGCAGGAAAAGAAAAGAGGGGAGAACGCTCATCTGCTTGGGGAAGGGTAGTTTAGGACTTCACTAATTTTCAGCAGGATCTTAACAGAATTCTCTTAACTGACTCCTTACTCACTCTCACTCAAAGTGAATAAGTGAATATACTGCAAAGAATTTCTGAAACAGAAATGGAGACTGAGCTAAGGGGAGAATTTCAGTTTTTAAATAGGCTAAGAGCAGGTAGAAGACAAGTTGTCAGAAAGGAAGGCCCAAATCATGTTCCTGAAAGAGCAAGCAGGATGCTGAGAAACACACTTTATTTTTAAAAGCAGGGAAAGGTCAAGCATGGTGGTGCATGCCTTTAACCCCAGCATTTGTGAGGCAGAGGCTGGAGGAGCTCTGTGAGTTCAAAGCCAGCCTTGTCTACACAGTGAATTCTAGGACAGCCAGGGCTAGCTATGTAGAAAGACTGTCTCAAAAAAACTGGAGGAAAAAAAGAAAGGAAAGAATGAAAATATTCTCATCATTTATAGTTACCACTAAACACAGTGATAACAAACAAACAAATAAAACCCAGTGTGTGATAATGAAAACCAGTGTTTGATACTGGGAGGCAAAGACAGGAGGATCTCTGTGAGTGCCAAGCCAGCCTAGGTAGTCTATACAGGCCAGAAGCAGGCCCTATCTCAAAAAACAAAACAATCAGTGGTTCACAAATTACATAAATCCCAGAATGCAAGCTCAAGCTCTTAGTTACAAGTCAGAATTTTCTTGGCCTAGTCTCACATAAGGAAACATTTCTCAGAATCAATGCATCAAAACCTATAGTCTCTCATAGGGATGGGGCTGTTCTCACCTCCTGGTATGCATAGTGGAAATTTATAAGAGAGTTTTTGTTGTTTCGGTGGTGGGGAGCTGGTATAAAGATAGAATTCCCATACTTTCTATGCAATAAAAGCTCCCCTCTCCTGTCAGACCTTGGAAAAGGTGAAAAGTTACTTATAATAACTTTGAATTTATAACTTATTTTATATGTAAACACAAAGTTTAGTTTTGATATTGTGTTGTAGTTATTGCAGAGTTTTGAGCCCACATCTTTGTATATGTTCAGTACATGTTCTACTACTGAGCTATCTGTAACCTGCTTCCTCAATTTGCCATTGAATTTTTCTGAGAATATAATTACTGTGAAATTTTTGAGTGAGAGTTGAATGTAAAATTTGTTCTGGAACTTATTGGTATTTGTTCACCATTTAAAAAATTGTGTTATATATAGAAAGTGACATTACAACTTTAATTTGAACTTGTATGTAATACATCTGTGTTAGTCTGCATTTGTAACATACCTGTAGTCATGAGAATAGCACAAATACACATGAACACACATAAACACATGAATATCCATATATATGTAGATATATATATGAATATATAAATTCTTTTACTCTTATTTCAAAATGTCAATACAAAGAAATAGTTACTTAGATATAATTTTACTTTTCTTATATCTATCCATTCATGAAGAGTAGGTTTAAAAGGTCTGACTATTATTTCTTCTAGTGATATTGTAATCAAACATTTATATATTGAGATATAGTACATACAAATTTTAAAGATTTATTTGTTTGTCTAATCTATCTATCTATCTATCTATCTATCTATCTATCTATCTATCTATCATCTGTCTATATGAATACATATGAGGGGAATGGGGGCTGTGGAGGCCAGGAAAAAGTGTTGGATCCCTCATAGCTGGCATTACAATCATTTTCAGGACAGCAGGCTTGCTCCATGGGTGCTGGGATCTGAACTCTGATCCTAATTTTTCTTATAATTTTCCAGCAATCACACTTATCCATTGAGCTATCGCTCTGCCCTACATATAATTTTAGTACATTTCTTTGCATGATTCCTTTATTTTAATACAGCATTATGTTTTTTCTTCCAAATTCTATAATTACTATTTTCTGGGACTATTGCAGGATAATAAAGGAGGCAGGTAATCACACAATGTTTGTGACACAAGGAAACATTGGACTGAAAAGACTAAAGATGATTGATTACTTCCATGCTTCTTGACATCCTGTCTCTGGGAAGAACAGAGGATGCTAATCTATCTTTAAGCACTTCCAACAACATAGGCCTTAGTATTGACCATGTGACTTCAACCTCCTTCCCCCCAAAACAAGAATACTACAGTAATAGACATATTTACCAAGATGAAAATCTGGCTTCTGAAAAAAATCATAAAGGGCATTCTGAATCTGTAGAGAGAAGAGGTAAAGAACATATTACTCCTCAATTACCACATATTTAGTTTTTTAGACTAAAAGTCATATATGGTCTTTCTAAGTACAGAGTAATGTAATCTCTGTTTAGTATTTTACCTTCTCATGTATGTCCTTATTGACTTCTATTCTCTTTGTGTGAGGACTGAGACATTGAGAATGATCCTATTTTGTCCCCTCCAAGGGACATTTCTAGAAACCTTTGACAGTGAATTTGATGTAGCTAGGGCACATTTGCAACTATCTTGGCAATCTTGAGAATTCTCTTTACTTCCTTATCCTCTAATTACTAAACACAAAATTTCAGAGTGCATTTTGGCCCCTTTATAAAAAAAAGATTTTCATTTCTGCAGAGAATTTTTAAATTCAAGTTAAACTGAGCAGACATACACAACCTCCCCAACTACCAATAGCCTATGCTAGAGCTGTAGATCCATTGCAAATGATGAACCTACAATGAGGCAGCGTTTCTTCCAAAGCTTGCAGTTTATATATGAGGTAACTGTTGGGGTTCTATGTTCTAGGGGTTTTGACAAATGTACAATGGTGGTGTCTATTACCACAGTGTCATATAGGGTTGTTTCACTGTCTTAAAAGGATTTGTATTTTGAATATCTAAGAAGTAGAGCCAGTTTTGATGCCCAATAACATATGAATGGATAAAGGCAGTGTAGAGCATTTACACAATGGAATTCTATTCAACAGTACAGAATCATAATCAAACCATTTACAGGAAATGGTTAGAAATCAAGATCACTGTGCTAAACAAAATAAGACTTAAAAAGACAAATACTGAGTGTTTTCTCTCATGCAAGGAACCTTGATTTAAAACTTTGATTGTATTTGTATAGGTCATGAAAGTAGAGTGGGGACCACAAGAGAAGAGTAAGTGATCTAAAGGAGAGACAGTGTAGAAGTATGTAATGCATACATGTGACTCGAAACACAAAGGAAGAATATATGAGAGGAGGAAGGGGATCAGCAAGAGGGAGGTGGAGATATGGGAAGGCTTTGAGAGAGGAGAATGAGTAAGAACAAAGCATAATACTTTATATACATGTTATACTACATTATATATTGTCACTCATTTTATATAAAATATTGCATATTATATGAAAATTTTATAAAGAAACCTTTTACTTAAAATGCTAACTTAAAAATAAAAATCCTGTGTTCCATCTGTTCATTTTACCTTTCATGATGGCAACAGTATCTTTTTACTTTCTCCATAATTTTTTACTTTTCCAGAATGTCATGTAATTGAAATCACACAGTATTTGGTCTTTTAGCTAGGCTTCTCCAACTTTGTTTGTTTGTTTTTTATATTCTTTTCCTTTTTAAATTTAAATTAGAAACAATCTTATTTTATATACCAATTGCAGTTTCCTTTTCCTCCTATTCTCTCATGCCTCCCACTGACTCCCATCCCATTTCTCTTCTGCTCCATAGAAAGGGTGAGACCTTCTATGGGGGAATCATCAAAGTCTGTCACATCATTTGGGGCAGGGCCTAGCCCCTCCCTGTGTGTCTAGGCTGAGAGTATCCCTCTATGGGGAATGGGCTCCCAATGTCCATTCTTATACTAGGTGTAAATGCTGTTCCATTACCAGGGACTCCATAGACTGCTCAGGTCTCCTAACTGACACCTATGTGCAGGGGGCCTGGTTCCGTTCTACACTTATTTCCAAGCTGTCAGTCTGGGGTCCATGAGCCCCTCCTTGTTCAGGTCAGCTGTTTCTGTGGGTTTCTCCAGCATGGTCTTGACCCCTTTGCTCATCACTCCTCCCTCTCTACAACCGATTCCAGGAATTTGGCACAGAATTTAACTGTGGGTGTCTGCTTCTGCTTCCATCAGCTACTGGATGAAGGCTCTAGGATGGCATATAAGGTAGTCATCAATCTCATTATTGGGGAAAGGCATTTAAGGTAGCCTCTCCACTATTGCTTAGATTGTTAGTTGGGGTCAACCTTGTAGATCTCTGGACATTTCCCTGGTGGCAGATTTTGCTTCCTATATTAAGGTAATTCTGTTCTTGCTCTCCTCTATCCTTCCCCCCTACTCAATCTTCCTGGTCCCCCATGTTCTCCTCCCCCCTCTTCTTCTACCCCTCTCTTCCTAACTCCCTCTCTTCTCAATGCTCCAAATTAGCTCAGGAGATCTTGTCCCTTTCCCCTTGTCCAGGTGATTATGTATGTCTCTCTTAGGGTCCTCCTTGTTCCCTAGCTTCTCTGGAGGTGTGGATTGTAGGCTGGTAATCCTTGGCTCTATGTCTAATATCCATATATGAGTGAGTGCATACCATGCTTGTCTTTCTGTGACTGAGTTACCTCACTTAGAATGGTTTATTCTAGTTCTATCCATTTGCCTTGGAATATCAAGATTTCTTTGTTTTTTTCCCACTGAGTAATACTCCATTGTGTAAATGTACCACATTTTCTTTATTCATTCTTCAGTTGAGGGGCATTTAGTTTGCTTCCAGGATCTGATTATTATAAATAATAATGAACATATTGAAAATATGTTCTTATTGTATGAATGTTCATCCTTTGGCTATATACATAAGAGTGGAATTGCTGGATCTTGAGGTAGACTGGTTCCCAATTTCCTGAGGAACCACCATACTGATTACCAAAGTGACTGTACAAGTTTGTACTCCCACCAGCAGTGGAGTGTTCCCTTTTCTTCACATCCTCTCCAGCATAAACTGTCATTGGTGTTTTTGATTTTAGCCATCTGACAGGCACAAGATGGTATCTTAGAGTTGTTTTGATTTGCATTTCCCTGGTGGCTAAGGATGTTGAACTTTCTTAAAAGTGTCTTTCAGCAATTTTGGATTCCTCTATGAGAATTCTCTATTTACTTCTGTACTCCACTTTTTAATTGGATTGTTTGGTGATTTGGTGACTAGCTTCTTGAGTTATTTGTATATTTTGAAAATCAGCCATCTGTCAAAAGTGGGGTTGGTGAAGATCTTTTCCTATTCTGTGGGCTGCTGTTTTGTCTTGTTGACTGTGTCCTTTACCTTACAGAAGCTTCTAAGTTTCAGGAGGTCCCATTTATTAATTGCCAACCTCAGTGTCTGTGCTACTGGTGTTATATTAAGAAAGCTGTCTCTTGTTCCAATTCATTTGAGGTTAGCTCTCACTTTCTCTTCTATGAGGTTCAGTGTGGCTGGATTTATGTTGAGGTCTTTGATCCATTTGGACTTAAGTTTTGTGCATGGTGATAGATATGAATCTATCTGCAATCTTCTTCTACATGTCTGCATCCAGTTATGCCAGCACCATTTGTTGAAGATGCTTTCTTTTTTCCATTGTATAGTGTTAGCTTCTTTGTCAAAGATCAGGTGTTCGTAGGTGTGTGGGTTAATATCAGGGTCTTCAATTCGATTCCATTGGTCTACCTGTCTATTTTTGTGCCATACCAAGCTGTTTCCATTACTATAGCTCTATAGCAGAGTTTGAAGTCAGGATGGTGATGCCTCTGGAAGTTCCTTTATTGTATAGGGTTCTTTTGGCTATCCTGTTTTTTTCATATAAAGTTGAGTATTATTCTTTCAAGATTTGTAAAGAATTGTGCCAGTATTTTGATGGGGATTGCATTGAATCTGTAGATTGCTTTTGGCAAGATTGCTGTTTTTACTATGTTGATCCTATCTATTCAAGAGCATGGGAGATCTTTCCATTTTCTGGTATCTTCTTTAATTTCTTTCTTTAAAGACTCAAAGTTCTTGCTATACAGGTCTTTCACTTGCTTGGCTGGCATTACTCCAAGATATTTTATATTGTTTGTCGCTATTGTAAAGGGTGAAGTTTCTCTGATTTCTTTCTCAGCCCATTTATCGTCTGTATATAGTAGGGCTATTGATTTTTTTTTGAGTTAATCTTGTATCCTGCTACTTTGCTGAAGGTGTTTATATCTGTAGGAGATCCCTGGTAGAGTTTTTTGGGTCACTATGTAAACTGTCATATCATTGCATATAGCGACAGTTTGACTTATTCTTTTCCAATTTGTATCCCCTTGAACTCTTTTGTTGTCTTATTGCTCTAGGTAGAACTTCAAGTATAATATTGAAGAGATATGGAGAGAGTGGACAGTCTTGTCTTGTTCCTGATTGTAGAGGAATCGCTTTGAATTTCTCTCCATTCAGTTTGATGTTGGCTGTTGGTTTGCTGTATATTGCTTTTATTATGTTTAGGTATGCTCTTGTTATCCCTGATTTCTCCAAGACCTTTATCATGAAGGGGTGTTGGATTTTGTCAGAAGATTTTTCAGCATCTAGTGAGATGATCATGTGGTTTTTATTTTGCAGTTTGTTTATATGGTGGATTACATTGATGAATTGTCATATGTTGGCCCATCCCTGCATCCCTGGGATGAAGCCTACTTGGTCATGGTGGATGATTTTCTGATGTGTTCTTGGATTCAATTTGCCAGTATTTTATTGGGTATTTTTGCATCAATGTTTATGAGGGATATTGGTCTGTAGTTCTTAGTTGTATCTTTGTGTGGCTTGGGTACCAAGGTAATTGTAGCCTTGTAAAAAGAGTTTGGCAATGACCCTTCTGTTTCTATTGTGTGGAACACTTTGAGGAGTATTGGTATAAGCTGTTATTTGAATTTCTGGTAGAATTCTGCACTGAAACCATCTGACCCTGGGCTTTTCTTGGTTGGGAGACTTTTGATGACTACTTCTATTTCATTAGGGGTTATAGGTCTGTTTAAATTGCTTATCTGTTCTGATTTAATTTTGGTAAGTGATATCTATCCAGAAAATTGCCCTTAAATTTTCGAATTTTTTAGAGTGCAGATTCTCTAGATTTCCCCAGTGTCCGTTGTTTTGTCCCCCTTTTCATTTCCAATTTTGTTAATTTGCATGGTCTCTCTCTGCCTTTTGGTTAGTTTGGATAAAGGTTTGTCTATCTTGTTGATTTTCTTGAAGAACCAACTCTTTGTTACATTACTTCTTTGTGTTGTTTTCTCTGTTTCTACTTTATTGATTTCAGCCCTCAATTTGATATTTTTTTTTTGGTGTCTCAATTTGATTATTTCCTGGCATCTACTCCTCTAGGGTGAGTTTGCTTCTTTTTGTTCTAGAGCTTTCAGTTGTGCTGTTAATTCTCTAATGTGACTCTTCTCCAGTTTCTTCATGTGGGTACTTAGTGCTTTGAACTTTTCTCTTAGCAATGTTTTCAAAGTATTACATAAGTTTCGGTATGTTGTGTCTTCATTCTCGTTGAATTCTAGGAAGTCTTTAATTTCTTTTTTTATTTCTTCCTTGACCCAAGAGAGGTACAGTTGAGCATTATTCAATTTCCATGAGTTTGTAGGTTTTCTGCAATTTGTGTTGTTGTTGAATTCTAACTTTAAAGCATGGTGGTCCTATAAGATGCAGGGGGTTATTCCAATGTTTTTTGTATCTGTTGAGGTTTGCTATGTTGCCGAGTATGTAATCGACTTTAGAGGACATTCCATGTGGCACTGAGAAGAAGGTATATTCTATTTTGTTTGGATGGAATGTTCTATAGATGCCTGTTAAACCCAATTGGGTCATAACTTCTGTTAGTTCCTTTTTTTCTTTGTTAAGTTTCTGTCTGGTGGTCCTGTTTAGTAGTGACAGTGGGGTGTTGAAGTCTCCCACTGTAAGTGTGTGAGGTTTTATGTGTGGTTTGAGTTTTAGTAATGTTTCTTTTATGAATGTGGATGCCTTTGTATTTGGGGTATAGATGTTCAGAATTGAGACTTCATCTTGATGAATTTTTTCCTGTGATGAATAAGAAATGACCTTCTTCATCTCTTTTGATTGATTTTAGTTTGAAGTCTAATTTGTTAGCTATTAGGATTGCTGGGTCCACTTTATTGGAAAACCTTTTCCCAACCCTTACTTAACTCTGAGGTACTATCTGTCTTTGAAGTTGAAGTGTGTTTCTTTTTTTTTGACATTCACTAAAATTTTGTTTATATTTCCTGTGTAAAAAGTGTTTTACACACAGAGAAACCTTGTCTTGAAAGCCAAAAAAAAAGTTTTTGCAAATATGTGTTACATACATCCAGAGGCCAGAAGGTGACGAGAAACCTCCTGGAACTAGTTAAAAGACCTCGTGAGCCAGCCAGTAGGTGTTGGAACCAAACCAAGGTCCTCTATAAAGGAGCAAGCTCTATTAACTTCTGAGTCATCTCTCCAACCCTAACACATACTTTTTTTGTCACCATGGTTTCTAGAACTTTTACAAATCTTTATAAATAGAAATTGTACCCATTACATATAACTTCTGATTGCCCCCTCTCCTAGACTGTCAACCAATATTACTGCTCCTATTCCATTTTTTAAATTAATTTTTTAATAAAAGGGTTCGTTGTGGACTAATGAGATCGCTTCTATGTGTTTAAGCCTTCTTATTCATGTGTGATTGAGTTTACTGAAAATGGGGTTGCATAAAGAAAAGAGTTTAACATAGAATTAATGTGGGCCTTCTATCCACAGGTCTTAGCAGTTCTGCCATGGATCTGCTTGGTTCTTTCACATCAAGAAGTTAGTCTTTCGAGCCATTTCCATGTTGCAGATACTCCAGCAAGTTTCATAGCTCTCCTGCTGACGGCAGCAGGGCTTTTCAGAGTAGCACCTTCATTTTATGACTTCAGTAAGCCCATCAGTAATGAGGACTCTGGGTCAGGGTCCTGTATGCACTTTTCACATTCCCCTCCAGAACCATCACAGTTCTGGCAATGAACTTCAGGTGTTTAGCTATGATTTTGCTTTCAAATCTTCATTCTTCAGGGCCTACAGACTATGGCCTCAGCACTTAGGACTTGAGGTACGTTTCTTGTATACAGCAGAAGGAGGAATTCTGTCTTTGTATCCATTCTGTTAGCCTGTGTCTTTTTATAGGCGAGTTAAGACCATTGATACTGAGAATGTTAATGGTCATTGATTGTTAATTCTTGTTTGTTTTGGATTTGTTGTTGTTGTTGGTATTATGTGCGGTTCCCCCCTTTTTTTTCTTTTGGCTGTTGTTAAAGTGGAATTATCTATTGCCCATGTTTTTGTGAGTGTAGTTAACTTCTTTGGGTTGGAGTTTTCCTTCAGAGTTTTCTGTAGGGTTGGATTACTGGATATGTATTGTTTAAATCTGGTCTTGTCATGAAATAACTTGTTTTCCCCATCTGTAGTGATTGAAAGCTTTGCTAGGTATAGTAGTCTGGGCTGGCTTCCATGGTCTCTTATTGTTCGTAGAATATCCATCCAGGACCTTCTGGCTTACAGAGTTTCCATGGAGAAGTCAGGTGTAATTCTGACAGGTTTGCCTTTATATTACTTGGCCTTTTTCCTTTGCTGTTCTTAATATAATAATAAGGAGGCAGTCTTAGGACAGGATTGCCCCTTTGGTCTGAGCATTGGTAGAGATAAGAACTCTCTAGTGGCTGACTGCTTTGCTTCTTTGATCCTTCAGCTTTCACTGCCTGATAACTGACTCCAAATTTTTATTATTAAGACCAAAGAGAATTTGTGCTACACTGTGGGTTGTGACCCCTTTGGGAGGTCCCAATGCATATCAGATATTCTGCCTAACAGATATTTACATTATGAAGTAGCAACGAAATAATTTTATGATTGGGGGACACAACAACATGAGGAACTTTATTAAAGGGTTGCATCATTAAGAAGGTAGAAAATCACTGGTTTAGAAAGAGATTTTTGTTATTGTTGCTGTTTTAAATTTAATTCACGGGTATGGGTGTTTGGCCTGCATTTATGTCTGTGTACCACATGTTTGCCTGATGCAATCAGAGTTTAGAAGAGGGCATAAGATCCTCTGGAATCAGAGTTACAGACAGGTATGAGGCACCAGGTGGGTGCAGGGAATTGAATCTGAGTTCCCTGGAAGAGCAGTCAGTAAATGCTCTTAAATGCTTAGCCATCTCTCCAGTCCTAGAGACAGAGTTTCACAATGTAACCCAGGCTGGTCTCAAACCTATAGCAATTCTCCTGCCTCAGCCCCCCAAGTTCTGAGATAACACATATATATGTGTAGAACTTTCACATTGATGTGAAATATATACTTATAATTTTTCTTTTCACAATTAAAAATTCTATAGAGACTGAAGACCAACTCCTCTTCCTCTCATCCATTTCCTTTGTAACTGCCATTCTGCTTCTTGTTTCTCTGAATATAACTTTAGATACCTCACACTTGTGAGATACTCAGCACATCTTCCAAGTTTATTTAGTTCATAAGCAACAGTCTTTCAAAGTGGTTGTACTGTTTTGCATTCCCACTAGCAGTGAATGAATGTTCTGTTTGTTGCTTTTTGAGACACGATATCTCTAGAGTTTGATCTAGGACCTACAAGGTGGAAGGAAAGAACTGACTGCTACGAATTGTTCTCTGACCTCCACTGTAGCACACACACCCATTCCTACACAAAATGAAAGAATAAAAGCAATAAAAATTGACCTACAATCTTTTTGTTTGTTTGTTTGGTTTTGTACTTGTTTTTCAAGACAGGGTTTCTCTGTGTAGCCTTGGCTATCCTAAAACTCATTCTGTAGATAGACTGGCCTTGACCTCACAGAGACACCAGGCCTGGCTGTTGCCTATTTTTTTAAAAGGGCTATTTAAATTTTTTACTATTGAATTTTAATTAATTATTTTATATTTTGGAAATAGTCTTTAATAAGTTTTGTTTTGTTAATATTTTTTCACAGCTCTTCTTCCTTTGCCCATTTAAAGTTGTTCACTTTAAAGCAAAATATGATTGGCATTGTATCTTATGATTAAATATTTTCAAATACACAACTAAGAGAAAATACTTTATTCTTAGAGAATAACTGTTTTTGCAGCTAAGAGATGTGGTCTCATAGATAGCACAAAAAGTCACACACACACTCACACACACTCACACACAAAATCCATCTCTGTAATGATTAGGTTGGAAACCCTTGTCAGAATCAAGATTTTAAACCCTTACTAGATTCATATATTATTTTTCAAGTCCATTGACAAATGAATCAATAAGCTCCCATGGGGCAGACAGATCAAGAATTGATGCAGTTCCACTTAACATGGTAGCAGTTTCCCTCTTAGCACCCATCCCTCTACCCTTCACATGTACCCTCTCTTACCACAACTATAGGAATCATTCCTCCAGGGTCGAGAACCCATTCACTGAACTGTTCCTCTAGAGCCTGTTTCCTCATGGTGGCCACCTTGACTTTGACTGTGCTTATATATTCTCTTTGTTCTCTCTTTTGTTTCATTTTCTCCTTCATTTTGGATACTCTGGAGTGTGAGAACATAGGATATATGTTAAGAATTCTCAGTTTGGTCCAGATAGTTGAGTGGCAGAATCCAAGCATTCAGGGCTTCACACCTGTCTTCCACCAGCACTCACTGCATTGGCTGGCCTATTTCACTTAAGTAGTAATATATTGAAGAAGTATTGGTGAGAATGTCATTTAACATAATAATTATAGAAAACTGTGGAGACATCTTAAATACATAAAAGTATAATTACCAAAAGACACAACAATCTTACTTTTGGATATTTTCCCAAATGACTTGAAATAAGTTTGTTAAAAAGAGGTTTGCATTCATATATTAATTGTCACATAATTCACAAGAGCAAAATATAGAATCAATTCTGAATGGATAAAGAAAATTTGACACACAAACAGAATAGGTTATTTAGCAGCCTCACAGAAATGGAATCTGTTCTTTGTGAAATGTGGACAGAACTGGAGAACTCAGGTACGTGAAACAAACCAGGTAAAGAAAGATGAATGCCACATGTTATTACTTACATACAGTAAAATATAAAAATATCAAACACAGAAGCAGAGAGTATAGTGGTGGTTACTGAGGAGATTGACCAAAGGGAAGAAAATGCATCAATTATAGAAGAAAGAAGCCCGGCGATGGTGGCACACACCTTTAACCCCAGCACTTGGGAGGCAGGTGGATCTCTGTGAGTTCAAGGCCAGCCTGGTTTACAGTGAGTTCCTGAACAGCCAGGAATGTTTCACAGAGAAACCCTGTTTTAAAAAACCAAAAAAATGAAGAATAAGGTTTTTAAAAATATCTATTGCACAAATAATTTTGTTTATAATAGAATGGTGCATATTTAAAAATTGCCACAAGTATAACTTTCAAATGCTCTTTCCATAAAAATGATAACTATTTGAGGCAAAAGATAGTAATTAGTTTGACTTAATTATACTACATATTTATAAATTATAACATCACATTGTACCCTGTAATTATATACAAATATAATTAGTCAATTTACAGGTTTTTGTTTTTGTTTTTTTTACAAAAAGTAGTAGTAAGAATATCCCTAGAGTCTCATGCCTTTAATGCCAGAACATGGGAGGCAGATAGATGTCTGTAAATTTGAGGCCAGCCTGGTCTACAGAGTGAGTTCCAGGACAGCCAGGGCTACACAGAGAAACCCAGTCTCCAGAAGCAAACAAACAAACAAACAAAAAATACCCCCAGAGGCTTTTCTACACTCTCTAAAGGCAGAGATGGTCTAAAGCCTAAAGGTCATTAGCCTTTTTCTTCCCTGGACATAAAAGTCATCTGGACAGATTCTGATCCCAAAACTAAGATGGAAGCATGGAATGTCCTCTTATAAGAAGCAGGCTAGTTCATTCTGATGCTCTGAACTAAAACATTAGGGATCTGCCTGGGAGCATATCTTGGCCTTTTGCTGCTATCTAGCTGGAATCAAATGTGTTTGCAGTCCTGCTGAAATCCTGAGGACAAGAGTAACTATTGTACTTAGTCAGAGATGCATCGCCAGGCTGAGAATGGGCCAAGAGTGGAGGCTTCAATTGTTCCTATGCTAATCATCCCTATCAGAACTTAAAAAACCAACCAAACAAATCCCAAACTGTTTTGACTGAAATCAGTCACATGGTTCAGGATAATAAAAACAGCTCTGAGTGTCAAGTGATTTTTTTTTTAGGTCCAACAACATTTGGAATAGATTTTCATCTTTTAAAGAGGAAAGACCAAGACAATCCAATAGATATGAGATGCAAAAGAATTTCTTTTTTTCCTTTAAATATATGCTTTTATTTAAATTAGAAACATGAAGCAGGGTGGTGGTGGCACATGCCTATAATCCCACACTCCGGAGGCAGAGGCAGGCGTACCTCTGTGAGTTCGAGGCCAGGCTGGACCGAAAGCCTCCAAAACAATACAGAGAAATGCTGTCTCATAAAATAAATAAATAAATAAATTAGAAACATGAATGCTTCACATGAAAATCCCAGCTCCCTCTCCCACCCCTCCTCCCTTGTCCCTCCACTAGCCCCCTTCAAGTCCCCCACCCAATCCTCATATCATTTCCCAGGGAGGGTGAGGCCCTCCTTGGGGGTATCTCCAGAGTGTGTCATTTCATCCAGGGCAGTATCTAGTCCCTTCCCTATGTGTCCAGGCTGAGAGAGAGCCCTTTATTTGGAATGGGCTCCCAAAGTTCATTCATACACCATGGTAAACACTAATCTACTACCCAAGGCCCCAGAGATTTCTGAGGCCTCCTCCCTGACAGTACATTCATGGAGTCTGGATCAGTCCTGTGTTGGCCTCTCAGCCATCAGTCTGGGACTCAAGAGCTCCCCCTTGTCCCATCAGCTGTCTTTGTGGGTTTCACCAGCACAGTCTTGACTCCTTTGCTCATCACTCCTCCATCTCTGTCACTGGATTCCAGAAGTTCAGTTCAGTGTTTAGCTGTGGGTACCTGTCTCTGCTTCCACCAGTCACTGGATGAAGGTTCTAGGATGCCATATAAGGTAGTCACCAACCTTATCATCAAGAAGGGGCTATTAATGTAGTCTCTCCACTATTGCTTAGTTTGCCAGTTGGTGTTATCCTTGTAGATCTCTGGAGATCTCACTAGTGTCAGCTCTCTCCTCAGGCCTATGATGACTCCATCTATTATGATATCTCTCAATCCTGCTCTCCTCTATTCTTACTTCGATTCAACCTTTCTGATCCCCCATTTTCTCCCCTTCTCTTATCCCCATCTCTTTTTCCTAGTTCCCTCTCCCCTCCCCCTATGTACCCAATCTGCTCAAGAGATCTTGGCTCATTCCACTTCTCTGGGATATCATGCATCTCTCTTGGGAACCTCCCTGTTTCCCAGACTCTCTGGCACTGGGATTGTAGGCTGGCACTCCCCTGATCCATATCTAAAATCCATATATGAGTGAGTACATACCATGTTTCTCTTTTTGTGACTGGGTTACCTCACTCAGGATGGTTTCTTCTAGTGCCATCCATTTGCCTGCAAATTTCAAGATTCCATTATTTTTTTCCACTGAGTAGTACTCCATTGTGTAAATGTACCACATTTTCTCTATCCATTTTTCAGTTGTGGGGCATCTAGGTTGCTTCTAGGATCTAGGTATTACAAATAATGCTGCTATGAACATAGTGGAACAGACATCCTTGTTGTGTGAATGGGCATCTTTTGGGTATATGCCTAAGAGTGGAATTTCTGGGTCTTGTGGTAGACTGAACTCCATTTTCCTGAGGAATCTCCATACTGATTTCCAAAGTGGCTGTACAAGTTTTCATTCCCACCAGCAATGGATGAGTGTTCCCCTCTCTCCACATCCTCTCCAGCATAAACTGTCTTTGGTGTTTTTGATTTTAGCCATTCTAACAGGAGTAAGATGATATCTCAGAGTTGTTTTTATTTGCATTTCCCTAATGGCTAAGTACGTTGAGCATTTTCTAAGTGTCTCTCAGCCATTTTATACTCCTCTATTGAGAATTCTCTATTTAGTTCAGTCCCCCACTTTTTAATTGGATCCTTTGATATTTTGGAGACTTGCTTCTTGAGTTCTTTGTAAATTTTGGAGATCAGCCCTCTGTCAGATGTGGGGTTAGTGAATATCTTTTCTGATTCTTTGGGCTGCCATTTTGTCTTGTTGAGTGTGTCCATTGCCTTACAGAAGCTTCTCAGTTTCAGGAGGTCCTATTTATTGATTGTCAATCTCAGTGTATGTGCTACTGGTGTTATGTTCAGGAAGCTGTCTCCTGTACCAATTCGTTCAAGGGTACCTCCCACTTTCTCTTCTAATAGGTTCAGTGTGTCTGGATTTATGTTGAGGTCATTGATCCATTTAGACTTAAGTTTTGTGCATGGCGATAGACATGGATCTATCTGCAGTCTTCTACATGCCAATATCCAGTTATGCCAGCACAATTTGTTGAAGATGCTATCTTTTTTCCATTATATAATTTTAGCTTCTTTGTTGAAAATCAGGTGTTCATAGGTTTGTGGATTAATCTCAGGGTTTTCAATTTGATTACATTGGTCCACCTGTCTATTTTTGTGCCAATACCAAGCTGTTTTCAGGACTATAGCTCTATAATAGAGCTTGAAGTCAGGGATGGTGATGCCTCCAGATGTTGCATTGTTGAGCAGGGGATGCAAAAGAATTTCACTGAGAATGTGGACATTAGATACCTCTAATAATACAAAAGAAAGTACCGAAGGGAAGATGTTCCTTTATGTCCATGTAAAACCTTTGTAATTATCTGGGAATATAAGCCTTCAAAAGGAAACTTTTGGGTTTGAAAACAAAAACATGGAGGCAGGTTAGCATGCAGAGTAGCCTTGTGTGAATTTCTGAAAGATTAATTAATATTTTAAAGGATGGGCTAAATCCCTTTAATGTACCTGCTAAGCATCCAAACCTCCCAGGTGCCTTCAGGTTTTCTCACCCTCCCTTCCCACACTGCTTCCCTCTGTCTTGTCCAAGACGGCATGTCTGCAGTTTCTGTCTCCACTCCAATATGGCTTTTTGTTCTGTATCCATGCCTTGTATCATGCCTTCTCTCATTTACTTAGCCATACTCACTTACTACACAAGCATTTACTGGGCATTGTCATATATTCTGCCATTGCAAAGCTCAGCAACTGATGGCAAAACAGATCAGTGATTGGGAAAGTGTCATAAGTACTGAGTCTCTCCAGATGTTCATAAGTCACAAAATAGATTCACAAGTTATTTTTCCGTCACATTTTCATCTGCTCAAAGTGTTTTTCCTCCGTTGCTTTGCTTGACTAGATCTTCCACATGCTTTGGGTTTCAGTTGAGGCATCATTTCCTCCCACATCGTGATGCCAACATTTAGAAAGAAAATCTAGTTTTGTGCTTTGGAGACATTGTGTATGAGCTTCCAAATATAATCCAAATGGATTTTAAATCGATAATTCCACTCTTTGAGGGAAGGGATAACATTTCTATTGTCTACATTATTTT